CGCAAAGTCTTCCCGGAAATTTGTGCAATTGTTTGTCGAATTTTCATACCGGAGTAGCTGGTTGTCCCTCCAACTTCACGCAAAATTTATTACATGCATCCATCCAGCCGGACACAGAGACATGAACGTGTTGAGTCTTATAGATGCGGATTCTTGTGGCTAAAGACGTGTTATAGAACTATTTGGTTGGGCACAGGAACTACTATCAATAAACTGTACAGCTGTATTAGAAATAGTACTGGGTCCACACAATACAATTTAGGTGGCTCATTCACATCAAATAAAGTCAATCTGATTACGAACAGTAAAACCTGTCCAGCTAAATTCATACCACAGCGCATTGTCAATGATATTGATGTTTATTTCAGTGATCAAATTGTATATTCATCTATAATCCCAAAATTTGGTAGTATGTTTTCATGTCAAACAAAACACACGACACTTAATGACGATGATATGTGTCCAAAAGGATTTAATGCTATTCCAATGGGTGTAATTGAAAGTAACTGTATCTTGTATGTATGTTTACAATTGCGAACTCAGACCTTACAATTGAGAGCAATATCTCTACCACCATATTTTAATTTGCTTAAACAGATTAACATGACATTACCAATCACGAATGATACTAAAGCTACCAATAACGATGATTTAGCTCTGCCAACAATTAGAATGACTCCAAGAATAATTTATCAAGATCCGAAATAGGCATCTACAATTGAATACATGACCTAAACAATATTTTTTTTTAATTGTACTAATTTGAGTATCTATTTCATGGTTCTAAAGAAAATGCAAACATCTCAGAAACTTCATTTCCGCTTGCGCTTATAAAGTTCCTTTATTTAGATATATCAAACTTAATACATAAATATTAATAAAAGCATCGAATTTATTTGCATTTTTTACAGACATTTGTTATCTATTTTGTATGAAATGAAATAAATTCGTGACGGCATATATAATCAGAAACTCGAAAAAAATGCAATCGTGTAATCTGTGAGATTGATCCTCTTATGAA